GGGCCCGGAGCTGGGGCCGGGACCGGGACCGGGGTAACGGCGGCGGCTCCCGCCGGGCCCGGAGCTGGGGCTGGGGCCGGGACCGGGGTAACGGCGGCGGCGGCGGCTCCCACCGGGGCTGGGGGCGGAGGGACCGATCCCGCCGGACTTTAGCTGCCCCCCGGCGAGAGCCGCGGGTGGGATGGCTGCTGCTCTAGGAGCGGGGCTGGGCTGGCTCCTGGCGGGTCCCGTTGGAGGAGGGCAGCGGGAGGCCCCTGTGGGTGCTCCGGGGCGGGGGGCACGGTGGGTCCATTGGGGAGCGCAGGGGGTCCGGGCGGGCGCAGCCAAGGGGAGAGGCTGGGGCCAGAGCTGGGCCCGCAGGGCTGAGCCACGGAGCCGGCCGCRCGCTCGGGCCCCCCGGGGAGCAGGTGCCGCCTTCCCCTCCGGGCCCTTCCCCGCGGCCAGGCCGCGGGCAGCATGAGCGGGCGAACGGCCCCTTCCCAGCGCCCGTTTGCCCATCAGCTGGGTGCCCCGCTGTGCCCGCCATGGAGCGGTACCACGTCCTGGAGGTGATCGGAGAGGGCTCCTTCGGGCGAGTGTACAAGGGGCGCCGCAGGTACAGTGCCCAGGTGAGGACGAGGGAGAGCGCTGCTGAGAGGCCCTTTGCGCCGGGCTGCTAGGTCATTGCTGGGGGGCTGTTCGTCTAGGGCCCGGCTTTCCTGTTCCCGCTGATATTCCCGGTCAGCCCTGGCTGGTGCAGGGTCCTTCAGGCTGAAGGACCTCAGGAAGCCCCTGGTCCATCCCCTCGGGTCAAAGCAGCACCAGCACTGAATTCAGATTAAGATTTTGTCCCCTAGGGCCCAAGTCAGATACCTGAGAGCCTCTCTGGTGTTCCAGTGCTTGACTGTGCTTAGACTGAACAGCTTTTCGGTTTGTCATGGTGGAACCTCCCCTGCTTCGATCTGTGACCGCTGGGTCTCATCCTTCCCCCATGTGTCTTCGTAAAGAGCCTGGCTCTTTCTCTCTTCCTGCTCAAAGCTGTCTGCAGTGGTGCTGATGTAGTGTAATGACTGTAAAGGACGTTAGATTAAGGGAAATCCTTCAAGGGGCCCAGTGAACAAATGGTTGTTCCCTGTGCTAAGCTGGGAAATGCGAAATCCCGTTTGGGTTAAATGCTGCCTCCACTAGGGTGGGTGGGAACCTGGTCTCATCCCAGCTTTGTTCACCTTGCAAGGTGGTGGCTCTGAAGTTCATCCCCAAGGTGGGGCGGTCTGAGAAGGAGCTGAAGAACCTGCAGCGAGAAATTGAGATCATGAGAGGCCTCCACCACCCCAACATCATCCAGATGCTTGACAGCTTTGAGACTGACAAGGAGGTGAATGGACCAACTGAGGGCGTGTGATTTTGCATCCTGGGCCAGGGGAGCTTCGGTTGGCCCTCACTGCAGCAGGGCCCTCTTTCCCAGGACATTCTGGTAACGGTCTCTCAGGGCCTCTATCAGCGCTTCCAGCAAGTCAGGCTTGTTCTGATCCCAGCTGCTCACTTTAGCCCTCCTTCCTCACTCGTGGTGAATGCTGCAGTCCTGCCACCAGCCCACTCCATTCCCTGTGGTGGCCACTTTGGGATTCCTCCCTCCTAGGGCATTCCCTCCCTCTTTGGGGACATGCAGGGACTACACTTGGAGATTGTCTGAGAGAGGTAGTGTCTCCCGCACTGGTTTCCTGTCTCACTCTGCTCTGGTCCCAGGACATAGTGGGAATGAGGCTGTGTGAGTGCCTGATCCTCCCATGCTGCTTTTCCTTCCAGGTAGTGGTGGTGACCGACTATGCAGAGGGGGAACTCTTCCAGATCCTGGAAGATGATGGGAGTCTGCCTGAGGAGCAGGTGACTGTCACAGCAGTGGCCACTTGGAGGCCTTCTCGCGGGGTGAAGAGCACAGGATCACCTGTCAGGCAGCAGATCTCTGCTGTGGCCCGGGGCATCAGGAAGGTGAAGGGGCCTCTGAGGCTGTACCTGGCAGAACCTCTGAGGAGGATGAAAAGGGAGCCAGGTTGCTCTGGTGGGTGGTGATCTGGAAGGGACCTCAGCTTTCCAGTTTGTTCTCCAAGAGCCACAGCAAGAGGCTGCTGCTGTAGCTGTTTGGCCATTCCTGTGGGTCAGAGAGGAACCATGATACGTGGGGTGGTCTCTGCCCCAAACAGGGCAGAGCAGGAAGGGGGCAGTGCTGGGGAGCCCAATGGGAGGCCTTGGCGATGCAGCATGAGTGTCACATCTCTGGCAGGTCCAGGCCATCGCTGCCCAGCTGGTGTCTGCTCTCTACTACCTGCATTCCCACCGTATCCTGCACCGGGACATGAAGCCTCAGAACATCCTCCTGGGAAAAGGTGGCATCATCAAGCTCTGCGATTTCGGGTGGGTGCTGGGGGMAGCTGAGCGGGCGCATGGGTTTGGGGCAGCTGAGAGATGTGCTGAGTGTTGGAGAGGAAGAGGCAGGGCGGGAGGGGATCTGGCTTCTTTGCATCCTCACAAGCTGGTAGGGATGGGTGGTGTTGGACTACAGAGCAGAGTGGAGTGTGAGTTAGTGCATAGGGATTTTCCTGGGGGCTGCAGTGGAGGCTTCTGCCTTAACTGGCCACTGGTTTTGCTCCGAGCAGGTTTGCCCGGGCCATGAGCATCCACACCATGGTGCTGACCTCCATCAAGGGCACCCCCCTGTACATGTCCCCGGAGCTGGTGGAGGAGCGGCCGTACGACCACACGGCTGACCTGTGGTCTGTGGGCTGCATCCTGTACGAGCTGTTTGTGGGCACCCCTCCCTTCTACACCAGCAGCATCTTCCAGCTTGTCAACCTCATCRTCAAGGACCCGGTCAAATGGCCCAAGGACATAAGCCCAGTCTTCAAGGTAAGGGTGAAGGTCCTGCCTGTAGTGGGAGACTCATTCATGGAAGAGGCTCTTTGGCTGCAACTGTAGGTGAATCTTAGATTTTCTCACCTAAAAGGGATCTCAGAGCACAGTGAAGGGATGAGAGGGTCCCCTCYTAGGAGAGGGATCCCAGTCACTGCTGTCCCTCAGTAAGTGGGGAAACTGAGAAAAATGTTAGACAAGTGATTTAGTGGTCTCAGAAGGGAAGACAGTGCCTTCCTATGGCCCAGCTGCCCTAAGTACTAGATGCACTTCTTTCCCAGAGCCACACAGAGAACCCGGGAGTCCTGGGTGTCCTTACTGAGGGATCCTGGTGGGTGCTTTGTGTCCCTGGTGGATAAACAGTGGGTGTTGAGCCTGTGCCGGTGCCTCTGGCGCTGGGCTGCCTTGCAGAGCTTCCTGCAGGGACTGCTGATGAAGGATCCCCGCCAGCGCCTGTCGTGGCCAGAGCTGCTTTCCCACCCCTTCATTGCTGGGCGGGTCACTGGTGAGTATCTGGCACCGGCTCTTTCTCCAGCAGTAGTGTAATCTGCTTCCTTCTCCTGCTGCCGTGGGGGAGGCTGCCAGCACCACTCTGCTTTCTCCAAGCACCAGCTCCTAACCCCTGCCCCCGGGGTGGCTTTGGGTCCCTCAGGGTTTCTCTGGGGTCCCAGAGATGGTAACTCCCAGTGTCCCAAGAGAGAATTGCTGACAAAATCCTCTCCTCACCTCCCCAGTGATTGATGACACGGAAGAGCATGGCATCTCAAACCCCTTCACTACCAAGCTGACCCCAGAGCTGCAGGCCCTGAAAGAGCAACAAGCCCATTCCCTGGCCCCCAGAAGTGGMCAGTCCAAGATCCTGAGAAAGGCCCAGCAGAAGATGGCTGAGGACACCCGAAAGAAGGTGGAGGGAAGCGTGGGTTCCCCCTGGCCATACCCCATAGTCAGGGCCAAGGAGGGCATGGAAATGGGACCTAATGGGAAGGACAGCAGGTACATGGGTCAAGCTGGGGTATCAGCCACATACAGGGTAGGATGTGGGGTCCTCAGCGGGGTGGGTAGAAGACTCAGCTGACTGCCCTGCCCTGACCAAATCTCTCTGTCAACACCCAGAGGCAGCTCAAGATGGACACAGCATCTGTGAAGGAGCCTGACAAAGGACACCAAGGGCGTAAATGCAAAGCAGCTCCTGGGAAGGCAGCTCTTGGGGAAAGAGAGCCAGGAGCTGCTGCCAAAGAGAAAACCACAGGCATGCTGCAAGGAGGGATCAGCACGGCAGAGTGGGAGCTGGAGGAAGCTCCTCCAAGCACAAGGTGAGGGAGAGCCAGCACTGCGAGGGGAGGCAGGAGGGAAGGCAGAGCAGCTCTCTGACTGCCCTGTTTTTGTGACCAGGGAGCACAGCATCACTCGAGACTATGAGCAAGAGTTCACTGAAACAGAGATCCTAGGGGAGCCTGGCCCTGTCAGGGCAGAGCCTGGGGGCAGGCGCAGCATAGAGACTGTGGACTTGGAGAGTGAGGTGAGATGGTGTCCTGTGGTGGAGAAAGCAGGGCCGAATCCCTAGCACCCGACACAGGGACCCTGGGGGAGGCAGGACCTTTGCAAGCAGCCCTCTCTCCCCATGGTTAGGAGCTGGAGAGCGATGAGGAGTGGCAGCACCTGATGGAGGCCACAGAGCCCTCAGCCCCACAGCCCAGCAGGCCGCAGAGCCTGCTGAGGGACCCGGCCTTCCGGCAGCGTGTCCGGCTCCGCCTCGCAGACGCCAGCCGGCAGGTGGGTGACGTCTCGCCCACACAGCCAAGTATCCCTGGGGGCTCTGAGCCAGGCACAGCTGCCTTTTCCTCTCCCAGGGTTGACTGGGGCAACTGGGAGAGGCCCCAGTGCAGCCAGAGCAGAGTGCTCTGCCTTCCCCAGGGACTGGAGCTGTCCCATGTGTGTAGCTGTCTGTCTGTCTGTCTGTCCCGAGGTTATCTCCTGTCTTAGTGGATGTAGGGCAGTCCCGTGGCCATCAGAGAGGCAGGTACATCCTCAGCCATAACYAGTGCTACTCGTGAGCCCTTCTGGCTTCTCCATGCCCAGGTATTGGAAGGGATGCTGGAGGGAGCCTCCCATCTCCGTCCTGCACTCCGGGTTGTGGGCAACCTCCTGGCTACCCAGTGTGACTTGGAGCTTCTGCGTCACTTTTGCCAAGAGCTGGATGTGCCTCTGTTCCTGCTGTGCTTAGCCAAGAAAATCCTGGAGAACAGTATCACCAAGCAGGTGGGTGTGGGAATGCAGGCAGYGTGGGGCTCCCTTAGCATGCAGCCAAATCCCAGTGCCAGGAGGGAGCTGGGGAGGTACCTCCTGGAGGCCCCTGTGTCCCCCTGTGTCCTGCTGCAGCGGGCTCGTGGGACTCTCACCTCTTCTGAAGAGGGAGGTTCTGCCTGGGAAAGACCCCACCTCAGATGTGTCAGATCCCCATGAGCTGCTTCTCTCTGGCTCCTGCAGCAGCCCTGGTGTGTCGTGGTGCTGACAGACCTCATCATGGTGACCACAGTTTATTTCAGCAGCGAGTGCAGCCTGGAGGGGAGCCAGCAGAAGGACAGGTAGGGAGGCTGCAGTAAACTGTGCTCAGGGCTCCCTTTCTGCCTTGCGGCCACTGTGGGGACCCAGCTCAGGGCAGCAGGGAGCTGCTCCTACTCTGTGCCTGGAGCTGTCTCTGGAGGAAGCATCAAGGTCAAAGCACTTTGTGGGATATCACCGTGCTCAGGGAGTGGGGTGGGGAGACTGAGCCCCTGGAYGAGAAGGCGCAGCTGAGAATGGGGTGCGGAGGTGCTGCCAGTCAGCCCTGCCTGGCAGTGCGGTGCCCTGCTCTGGTAGCGAGGGCAGGATGGGCCTGGCCACATCCTGCTCTTGCAGTCAGGGCTGTGATATTACATTCCTATCTGCCCCTGCCTCCCCCAGCCCACAGGCCTTCCAGGAGTGCACCGGCCACCTCCTAGCCCTGCTGCCGGAGCTGCTGGCCCAGGCGGCTGACACCGAGATGAGACTCTGCCAGCAAAGCCTCCTGGTAAGGGCTTCCCTTCCTCCTCTCTTCCAGCTTCCTTCTCCATCACCCTTCTCCCCTCCCTCCTTCTGTCTGCAGTGACAGCAGCTCCTGTGTCTCCCACAGTGCTTCACCTTGCTCTGCGAGAGCCTGGACACAAAGTGCCCTTCCATCTCTGCCCCCTTTTATGCCAACCTGAGAGAGGAGCATCAGCCCCTGCTGAACAGACTCCTCCAGGGATCTGCCTCGGAGCAGCCTGCTCTGCAAGGTAGTGTAGYAGCAGCCTGTCACCCTCTCCCTTCTCCCTAGGAACACTGACTGYCATTGCAGCACCATTGCCAGGAGGAGGTGACTCTTCTGTGATCATCCCCCAGAGCTGCTSTGCCCTAGCTCCCCAAATCCCGACTACCTGGGGCTCTCCTGTCCTCCCCTTCAATTCCAGAGCTCATCTTCCTCATCTCCCAAGTGTGGCTTTTCCTTGCTTGCTCCCCAGTCCTGTCCTGCAGCCCCTCGGTGACCCTTGGAATGTGTCTCCCAAGTTCCTACCCTGCACAGGTGCCACGATGGAGCCCAGATCAGCCCTTGACCAGAGGCAGCACGTGGTGGATCTYTTCACAGCTGCACTGGCTGCCGCCTGCAGCATCCCCCTGGCAAGGAACGGCCTTCGGGAAGCCAAGCAGCAGGTCAGGCTGCCTCTTTTTGCAGGGCAGGGAGAGGTCATTGGCTCCTGCAGAAGTCGTGGCCTTTTGCAGGAAAATCTCTTTCAGCAGCAGAGAGCAGGGCTGGAATTCTTCAGCTTTGATGGCTACAGTGCTRGGATCCCCTGGGTTTGCAGGGAACTTCCCTGAGTTTCAGGAGAATCTAGGAACTCCTAGGTCTATTAAAAAAACTCCCACTTAGGATCTGAACTGTAGGATGGAATAAATAATGAAAAAGTCGGTGCAGAGAAGAGGTGAATTCAGTGGTGACAAACTGTGGGAAATCTGAACCTGAAAGGACAATAAATAAGGGATGCAAAGGAAAGCAAAAGTAGATTTGATCCTTAATTTCACCTCTGAACCAAGGAGGGGAGCAAAGGAGAAATCCCACCTTGCTTGTCTCAGCTGAGSGACTGTGTGATGAAGCAATGCTTAAGGGTGCTTAAGGGCACCCTCAAGCTAACACAGGCTGCCTACAGGGAGCAGAGGCTCTCTTGGTTTGTTAATTTGTTGCTAGGATTATACTGCCTAATTCTGGGCAGTGCTTCAGGATGGTCAGGGTGAAAACCAGGCTGATTTCTGCAGGTTTCTYGGGAAGTGGCTGAGAAGCTCATGGAGGGGGAGAGGCAGCAGCTTGGGAGGCTGCTGGGGAGACTGGAGCATCCAAACTGCTCCCTGAACGTGCTCAAGGTAAGAGCCCCATCCACCTGGCTGTCCGTGCAGCCTGGCTGGCTGTCCTAAGAGGCACCCAAGGCTGGTGCATCTCTCCCCTCTGCCTTGCAGATCCTCTATGCTGGCTGCCATGCCAGCCCGAGCCTGTGCCAGCACCTGGGAAGGAGCCAGCAAGTGTGTGATTCCCTCATGCACCTCTCGAAGGGCAAGGTAGGACTTGCTGCATCCCTGAGGATGGGGTGGGAGCGCAGCAGGGCAGCAAACATCCACTGAGAGCTGTGTGCAGGGATGGGACCCAGCGCTGGCTGGAGTGGTGGGCAGAGATACTCGAGCAGGGAAGGAGAAGAAATGGAGCACGGAGCAACCCATGGTTCTGGGGCTCTGGGGGTGTGGGGTGGGCAGRGAATATGTTTGGTGCAAGCAGTGGGACGAGGCCAGTGGGGGCTGAAGAGGGTAGTGTGGAGAAGGAGAGAGATGGGACCAAGAGGAAAGGGTCCTGGCAGGGGAAAACACAGACCAGACCAGGGAACATGTGCAGGAAAGAGCTTGAGGGGGACCAGCCTGGAGGAGGCAGGTGCCTTCTTCCCTGCTGGATCCAGGCACATGCCTGCCTTCCCTCCCAGCCTAGCACTGCCATGTGATTGCTGCTCTCTCGACAGGTCCCCATGGCAGATGTGGCCCGAGGGGCAGCCTGCGAGGCCTCCCTGCACCTGCTGGCCCTACTCACCCTGCAGCTCCAGGGCTCCCTTCCCAGGTAAGCAGCCTCACTGACCTGGGCCTGTGTCACACCAGGGCAGGGACATAGCAGAGGAGGCGAACTCTGCCTTGAACAAGCCTCTGTCCTACACCCTGCCCAGAAATGGCATCTGGTTTCCACTCCTTCTGATCCTGATGCATGGGCAGGGTGCTGGGTAGTGTGACTGGGTGCAGGAAATGCTACAGGGACACAGAATGGATGAGGAGGTGCTGTGAGCCATATTTTGCTCTCACGCTGCACAGTGACTGCTTCCCAGCGCTGGCAGGYGGGAGTTTGAATGCCCTTGCTCTGTGGGATGTGAAGCCTTGGGAACAAATTGTTGGGAGGAGAGCTCAGCTGTCTCCTGGTTCCTGTATTTCAGGCTTGAGGAGGTGGTTACCATGGCCATGGACATTGTCACCCAGTCTCCTGTTGTTTCCTTTGTGGTGAGTCTGTCCACCCAGTCCAAGAGACTGTTTAGAGCCCCGAACAACCCAACATCCCATCTGGGTCCTACTGTTTTGCCCAGAGCTGTGGGGATGCTCTGGCTGCCCAGCCCTGGGGCAGGGGGACAGTCTTAAGTGGGTGTAAGAGAAAGTCCCAAAGGTGCTGAGCTCTCCCTGCTCCCYCAGGGTGCTGCAGCATTCCTCCTGGCCCAGCTGAGCCAGCAAGGGGCGAGCGTGGCCTTTAGGGGAGAGGAGATCCTGCCAGCAGTGAGGAACRCACTGACAGCCCCTGCCGAGGTAGGGAATGGGGACGGAGGGCTGGGGGTTCTGCTGTCCCACTGCTGTGCGGCTGTGCACACAGCCGTGCGATCAGAGGTGGGATTTGGACCCTGCCTTGGACCCAGCTCCAACCTACCCTCCCTTACAGCTGCAGCTGCCCCCGCCACTGGGTGCTGGGATCTATGACGGGCTCTTTTTCCTCCTGCTGAAGCTCCTTGCCCAGGTACTGACCTGCCCCCCTCCCTTTGCCTGGTCCCTGTTAAGGCTTTGTGTGGGGCAGAAAAACCTGAGCATGGATGGGTGATGCAGCCGAGGCAAACCAGGGCTCCAGCGGGGCTTTGGTTCAGCTGTGTGACCCTGTGAAAGTCCCACAGTATTCCTGGGTTTCTGTGAAGCTCTGGAGGGTTTGCCAGAGGGTGAGAGGCAGGAGATGGGAACATTAGAGCGGGAAAGGGCAGGAATGCCATGGGGCTGGCAGCATCAGCAGCCACTGCAGGACTGACTGCCTGGTCCACCCAGTGCGGATGTCCCCAGGGTCCTGGGGCAGGTGAGCACGTGGAGCAAAGYCCTAGGGAAGAGCAGAGAGCTGGGAAGCCCCCTGACACTTGCTTCCCCCTCACTAGGAGGACGTGGCCACGGAGCGGAGCTTGGCTGCCTCGGAGCTGTGGCGAGTTGTCCGGCACCGTGTCGCTGCGGTGCTTCGCGTGGCCAGTGCGAATGCGACGCTGGACGGAGGCAGCCTGGGGACAGGCCACCCCACATCAGAGCCAGACTGGAACCTCCTCTCCCCTCAGGGTAGGAACTGGGAGACCGCATGACACCTCTCCTGGACCAAGCCCCACATCCTGCCCTCCGACTTGCACGCATGTCCATCCCTATCAGTGTTTGGACCCTGTGGCCAGAGGGACTTAGGGGACTTCTGAGCATTGCTATTCTCTTCCTTTGAGCAAAGGCTGGGCTGGCCAACACATTACCAAGTCAGCAAGAGTGCCATGCCATGGGCAGAGAAATGGGAAAGGGCATCTCTGCAGTAGGGAATGCATCACCCGGGCAGAAATGACCACTRTGGGTGCTGCCATGGAGTGCTGCCCAGAGAGCTGTCCTTTCCCGGACAGGGAAGTGCAGAAGTGACCCTGGAGCAGCATGGGGAGCACTGGGCAGACAGGAGGGAGGAATCTCTGCAGCCTTCCCCATTCTGTTCCCCTGCAGGCGTCCTGCTCTTCCTAAGCCTGGTCCTCTCCATCTTCACCTGTGAGCCACAGCAGTGCCTGCCTCAGCTCGCCCGGCCCCGCGGGGTCCTCATGGAGACACTRAGGACGCTGCTGTCCCCCGACTTCCTGGCCTGCCTGGCACAGACGTGAGTTGTGCTGTGGTATGGGGAAGGGCAGAGCTTGGCACCTTGGTAGCTTGGTACTAGCACACGGATGAGAATTGCTTGGCCTGGCCCTTGCTGGGCACAGCTGTGGGGAACAGCTCATCCACAGAGCCTCTCCCTGRTGCCTGGCACCAGGAAAGCCTTCTGCCTCTTGGCCTGCTGTTTTCTGATCACCTCTATGTTAAACTCACTCTCTCCAACAAATCCAGGCAAGAAGGGGAGGATGGGGATCCTGAGCTTGTCCCAGCTGTGGTGCTCCAGACCTGCCAGCTCCTCTGTTTCCCTTTTGCTCTGGATGTGGATGAAGACWTCTTGGCATCACTCATGGAGGGTGTGAGAGACTCCCAGATCCCCGCCAATCTGCTGCAGGTACCCTGAGACCTTCCCCTGTGCCAGGGACATCACTCAGACATCGCACAACCCCCCCACTTGCTGCGGGGTTAAGCCCCAACCTCTCTCCAGCCCAAACGTGGGAACAAATCCCTCAGCACCATTGTCTCTCCTTCTTCCTAGGCCTGTTGTCACCATCTGCCCTTTTCGGACACGGAGCTCCCCATGAGGCTTCTGTGCCACTTTGTTGTGTCTGATGAGCAGGTCATAGACCAAACTGTGAGAGAGGCAGCTGCCTCYGAGCACATCGTTGCCTTCTTGACAAGTGCCTTGTTTTCAGACAACTCCACAATCACGGGTGACCTCCTGTCCCTCTTAACCCACGTGGCCCGAGTCTGTCCGGAGCACCTGCCTTTTCTCCAGAAGATCCTGGGGGCCTCAGATGTGGCCGAGCAGCCACTGACCCGCCTGCTTGGCCACTGGGAACACCCCATACGTGCCAAAACCTGCAATCTTGTGGGCAACCTCCTGCGCCACAGCCCCGGCTTTCTGCAGAGCCAGCTGGGCGTGCTGGAGCGGCTGCTGGAGCGCCTGGCAGACCAGGACGAGCGCGTGCGCAAGGCGGCCGCCTTTGCGGTGGGCAACGCCGCTTACCACGAGTGCTCCCCGGCGGGCACGCTGGGCAGGGCCGTGCCCGGCCTGACGCGGCTGCTGAGCGACGTGCAGGCCGCGACGCGCCGCAACGCCGCCTCGGCCCTGGGCAACGTGGGCCGGCGCTCGGCGGCGCTGGGCGACCTGCTCATCCAGAGCAAGGCCCCCAGCGCGCTGCTGGAGGTGGCCTGCTGGGACCCGCAGGCGCGCGTGCGGGAAGGAGCCCTTGCTGCGCTGCGAGCCATCAGCCAGCACCCGGCCGTACAGCAGGTACCCTCCCGACGGGAAACGGCTGCTCGGGCACCCGGGCAGCTCTGTGGGACATCCCACAGCGCTCGAGGGGCAGAGGRCAGCTCATTTGTGACTCTTGTGGCCTCTCTTTGCTCCACAGGTGCTGCTGTCTCTCAGGGCCAGTGAGAAGCTGGCTGCTCTGGCCAGCAGGGACTCGCAGTCCAGCGCTGGCAGCAGCTCCCGGCCCTCTTCCACCCGGCACTGCAGGAAGCTCATCCACCTCCTCGCGCCCGTGCAGGGCACCTGAGGAAGCTGGTGCTGCGGAGTGACCGTACGCTGGGATCACTGCAGGTGCCTGCAAACGGTGCGTGCTCCTGCCTGCTGCCCCGCTCCGGCCCCGAGAGCAGAGCCCGTGGGCACCGGGCGGCCACCCCGGGTGGGCTCTCCAGCACCATGGGAGAAACACCGTCTTCCTGCTTGTGCTCCGGCTCCGACCTTCAGCAACAGCCAATTTATTTACGGCGAGGAGGGGCCCTGCCCAGCGGCTCCGGTCCTTGGCTGCAGCCGGGTGCCAGCCTGGACACAGCTGGGCTGCAGGGCTAGGACACTCTCCGTGCAGTGGGACAGCCGTCTGTGACACAGCCTTCCGTGGGCGGCAGACGGGCAACCCCTGGACTTTGTCCTTTAATAGCAATGAGAGGTGTCCAGCTTTTAYGTGGAGGTGCTTCCTCTGTGAAACTTTTCTTGGGAAAGAGCCTCTGGATCTAAAGAAACCAGTTCTTGGTCTTCGCCACCTTTCAGTGTGTTTCTAGGGGCGCCCCGGGCGGCCCAGGGCTCATTGCGGGGCTGGCCCTTGTGCCCGCTGTCCCCGCGCTGTCCCCGCCAGCCGCACTGCGCACGCGCCGCGCCGCCAGGGGGCGCCGTAGCCCCGGGGTGGGGCGCGCGGCGTGCTGGGA